TCCTAAAAAGGCTTTTCAGTAACTATTTACAATAATGTAATAAATAATATAATAGATTAAATATAAAATTTATATATAATGTGTTAAAAAATTACAAGGTATAAYAATAGTGATGTGTATTTATAATGACTAATGTATATAAGGTATCTAGATATATGCAAGCACATGAAAAGAGACAGATAACATAATGTAGATTTTCCCGTAAAACGAAATAGATATATTGTGYCTAGTTAACAGAGTACGTAGTCTCCTACTGACGCAAATTTCGTCTGTTAGAAATATTGGAATGGGAAGCTCATCAGCCGCTGGAAGACTTGGAGCTATCACTGCTCCATTTGTAATTTGGCTGGTAAGTTCGATTCCAAAGTCTTAACAAACAAAATAGCACTGATCAAATCAAATCACATTACAATTCTATTTTTCTTCAGTCCCGATTCTTTGCTCCGCTACCTTACATTATAATGGCTGTCGATGCTTTTATCGCGGGATTCCTGTGTTTGCTTCTTCCCGAAACCAATAAGGAACCGACTGCGGAAACTTTGCAACGTGAAGATTCTGAGGAGGGACTTGTTGCTGATTTACGACCTGACGGTGAAGAGCCTTTAGAGGAGTTAAAAAAAGAGAAGGAGGAAGACCAACTTCTTGACAAGAAAAACACAGTAGTTTAATTTTTAAACTTTATGTAATTATACGAAGCTATGAGCTACAATCGTCTAATAGTGAAAACATAGTAGTGAAGAGGGGATCGCCTGAATATATCTTCATTATACAAAGGATCTCGATCGATTTAATGCCCCTTATTAGTGAAAATAGGCAGTGTGCGAAGCGACGCCATTTTCTAAAGCAAAGCATGATGGGAAATGTAGTTCTCGCACTCGTTTGCCAAATATGCCAAATTATTCGGTTTTTTTGGAATTACTTTTAGCCGCCGTATAAAAGAAAGACAACTGGTGTCGCTGCACCGCATTGCCTGTTGGGTAGTACTAGTTAATCATTTTTTTAATAGATTTTTTTTTGTAAAGTAGAAAAAGAGTTATAGGAATTTGCGCTCGAAATTTTTATGACGCAGAACCAAGTAATATCCATGAAACATTAGTAAAAACTTAAAAAAGGTGCTTTAATTGTTTTTCTTTCTTTCAAAACGCGTCGTTTTGTATTCTAGTTTCCTCAAGGGTACTAACAACAATTTTGGACTTGATTAGCTTATGCTTATTGAAATGTTTACGTCAATGTCTTATGCCKTAGGCTACTTGACTTTGTCTTTTGAATCCGAGAGAGCAAGAGGAAAGGTGTTGATTTTAGTCAGCACTTTACAAATTGGCATGATGCAACAMGTCCAGCATAACCGTGCAACAAGTTGTCCTCAAGGGAGTTTGAAAACAACACACAAATGCTATGAAAACGCATCAATGATTGTGATAACGAGGCTTAGTGTTTCTCATTGTAAACGTATGGCGGCAGTGATTTTAAAGCTTCCACTCCGAGTTGGCTATAAGTCATCTTAAGTTTATCTTCTTTTACACGAGAAAATAAGCAGTTTCCTCTGATGGGTTAAAGAAAGGGGCATTCTCACAAGGTTATTATTCGAGATGGAGGGTCGCATTGCGCTCAGGAAGGTAATTTACTTGTGAATGTGTTGACGCAGTGAATATGAAGAAAATACTCTATCTTCAATTGTTTTGCTTCTTAGTCTACCTTTGCTTTCGCGAGTTATTTCGTTCTCCATTTTCCGTTCGTCGATTATGTAGAATTTACTAAACTTTACTAGTAATCTATTGAAAAGTTTGCAAATGTTTTTGTACATTTGTTTATTCAGTTCCTCTATTTCGCTGTAATTAAAATTCTCCCCAAAATAGTACAAACGGTACTTGTTATTTAAGTGAATACACTCTATTACATCTGTGCCCATAAAAATATTCTTTCATATACCTCTCTCTTATGATGYACGACATACAAAGGCRGATCCAGATGAACCCCCTAGCCAAGCGCAAACACAAGAGCCCATATTTCGTCGTAGTTACAAATCGCCCKACGCAAGCGCTTGTTTTTTTTACTTGTGATTGCTCTTGCGCTTACGCTTGTGATTTTGAAAACGAAAGAAAACGAAACAYAACGCAAGTGAAACTGTGCGCTTGCTTCTGTGTTTGTCCTTGTGTAACTCATGAAAACCAAGGTGTTGCACTTGTTATAAGACGAGTTGCAATACAAATGTGCACTTTCAGTRCAGTTGCGTGTTACACAATCATTTAAAAAGGTCATAAGATTGACTTTCTTATCCGATGCTCTTCATCATTTGGGACACTCCCTAACAAATTTCTGTATCCCCCTTTATCACCTATTTTTGTATTAATTGCATTGTCACAAGATTAAATTCCCGGTATCACAGGTAACCCAGGCTAAGCACACTTTATATCGAATGCTTTATTTACAATATTTTGGTAAAGGAAGTAATATAGTTGCATTCCTTTAAACAAAAGTCTTATCCTGGGTTACCTGTGCCCCTATGTACATTGATTTAAATACAATATAATTTCAAGATATGTCAAGTTATTCAAAAACTTTGAATTGAATCAATTTCAATTGGTATTCAAAAGTCTGTCSTGCTTTCAAAATTTCCTTAGAAAAAATCCAAATTTTCCTGAGAAATTATAGCAGCAGGTGGTGCAATGGTAACCACTGAATTACCCCTCTCAAAACAAATTGTTTGATGYGCTGTGTCGTTCTTAAAAGAACAATGCCACCTTTTTTCTTTTGTTTTTTAGCAAGCCTATTTTATTTACATCTTCTTCAGAAACATGAAAGCCCACCCAGTGTGAATTTCAAAAAAATACAAAAATTAATATTATATATTGTGGACCATCTTCCACAAATGTAAAAATAACATACAAAGTACAATAACTTGATTAAATTAAAAATATGTTTTCTGTGGTCAGAGCACTGAACATCAAATGAATATAAGATTTTTAAAATCTCTGAAATTTTCAATTTTACTGCTATACTGTTGAAAAGTGGCCTCTTAAAAGATGAATTTGAGTCAGAAATTTCATCACTATCAAAGAGCTAACCTGTATTCTAGTAATACTATTAGTCAACTCATAAATAATTTTATACAATGTATTTGGAATGGCCAGTGGTTATGTATATGCATGCATGACCTGTGATACTGTATATATTTTCACTATATTATAGCCTCTCTCCCTCCCTCCCCCCCCCCCCCCCCTCCCTAGATCGGGATTGACCAAGAACCATGAAGAACAAAATACTAATATTTTCATGTTTAAAAAGTCAATCCACAGATTCTATAATATGGATAATTGAACGATAGCTAGAATATAATTATAATTTTCTTTTCTAAATTTTCTTCAGAATAAAATATAGAGATTTCTGTTATGTAGGTACTTGAATATGTGTTTCCTGYTGCTCTTCATTTGTAATAAGACTTTGCCTTTGTTCGCCATCCAACCTACAATATTWTTGACCAAAATACTGGCATTAGCTTTACTATACCTATTCTAGTTAGAGTCTATATTAGATTCTAAACTTAAGCGAATTCCTTTGCTAGTGATTGTATACCAATAGAGCAGCCACCACCTATGTGATATTGTTTAAATAAAGTCCTACTTGCATAAAAATACCATTATTTCAAAACTTCAAGCAATACAAATATATGACRAGTTCATTTATATCTATTTTAATAAAACAATTGCGGGAATATATTTGTTTTGGAATTATCCCACATCACAGAAATTTTGATTCAAAAGATGGAAGAACAAAAGGATAAAGAGTAAATCACGTCATTTACTCCAACATTTTTTGCACAAATTATTAAGGATTTGTATCAATATCTTCTTGAAATCTTCATGATTATTAGACCCATATGGATAGGCCTATTTGATTTCCAAGTCATTTCTAATGTTTTGCAATTTTCGTCCAAGAASCCTTTTAAACTCTAATACAATTTCTAATTGATACAAACATACCCATTGTGGGCATCTGTGTTCTTGATAAGAGCAATACATTTCTTGAYACAAGACATAGCTGGGTCCCAATCTGTGTAATGTGTTAACAAACTGACAGCAAAGAATGATACAACTACTGGTATAGTGCCAACAAGAAACAACCAATGAAACTTAACCTGAAACACAGAATGCATCAAACTACACTCATTTTGAATTCTGATTGGCTACTTTGTTTTCAATCAGTGAAATATCTCCAGCAGGAAAAAACAATGGACTGAGTCATTTTTGAGATGAATTTGTATAATAATTATTTGTAGCTTCTCTTCCAATTATGGTAGTCAATTACTGTTTTGTTTTGTGCTATTTGTCTAGGAGGTCACACTAAACAGTGTACAACTTATTTTAACTTACTCTGCTCATAAAAATGTCTGTAATCATAGTCAATGGAATTACAAGACTCAAAGACAGTGTTGCTGTCAGCGAAGAAGTYAAGAAACATCCCCTGAAAACAGAATAAAGACATACAAATTACTTTCAAGATAAATCTACTATATTGCAGCTATGAAAGTCTTGATTTTCTACTTTAATAAATATGTACAATAGAGAGCAAGCTAAACATCAGTCACCAAGTTAGGTCAGAAGCCTAAGATGCCTTAGTYGTAATAAGAACTTCAAGACATGATCCTGTTTTTTTTTCGAGAATTACAGTCTTTTCTAAGCTTGTAGTTTCAAAGCACACAAATATCAGACAATCTGCCTTGTTTAGCCTGAATATCAGCTGCCCTCTCTCAGGTCATTCCTTGTGGAATAAGCAAAATGACCCGATGGCTGATATTCAGGCTATGCCTTGTTATCTTTTTTCACTTACCAAAGCCATAAAAATTCAGATAAAACTGTCCCAACAACAGCATTTAATGTTAAATAACCCCACACATTGAGATTTGGAGGTAATTGAAATGGTTCYATGCCRSTGTAATGAAGAGCAAAGAAACCTGGCCACAATAGCACAAGGTTAAACAATCCAACAAAACCTGCAATGATACACAATAATATGTTTGAAGAGCACAAAAAAACAAACAAAATAAACATTTACATTTTTAGGATTTTGGTAGCAATACATGCAAATGACTCGACTTTTCCATGTGAATATTTTCTAACTTACCAAAAAACATTGGAACATCAATTTTACTTTCATCAGGAACTTTTTTCTTTAAAAATACCAAATAGCAGGCATAGCTAAATGAGAACAAAAAATGTTACTACTCAGATTAGATTAGTAGCAAGGCCATAAAAACTATTTATATTAAGCTTTCAGTGCAGGTTCCTATTGTTGGGAAAGGTTCCTGCCTGAGTATAGTGCAAGACCTACCCTGCAAGGATATAGGGTACCAGTGAAACAATTCAAATCAAATCAAAACAATATGAAAAAAGMAATCACAGCATGGAAAAATACAACCATAAGAAATTAAAAAAACACCTTGAAATGTTCAAAAGTTGTTCATACTTACAGGAATGCACTACCTAAAGCCCAAATAGCACCATAACTGATTCCTCCTTTTGTATTTTGTGAATCAGACAATGTYACCATAACAATACCACATATACTATACAAATAGTAATAAATTTAATATAACATCATYATCAAAGGTAGTAAAAAAAKCAATTTTCGTGAATTTGATTTTCARTTTGGTCCATACCTTATGAYAACAGCAATCGCTTTTGACAGTGTTAACCGGTCAGCTGACGAACTTTTGAAAACAGATGCCAACAGCAGAGTAAACAAGCCTGTTATGAGATAAAGTTGTCACATGATTATGATCACAGGTTGTCAACTGTCCTGAACTGTCCTGTCAACTGAATCTCAAGGTCTCAAGATTTCTACATGTATGTGAAATGCGGGCAGGACCAGAAAGCCGAGGGGCACCTGCAGTTCCTCCCCCCAGTTTTCTTTTTCAACTTTTGGAAACTTTAATTTTGAACCTACTGCACATGGGTCTGCAATCAAACTAAACATTGTGCCCATTTCACTATATGACATAAATATAATATCCCTGTGGTACCATCCAAATATTTTCAGCTTTCACTGCCCAAAAACATCTCCTTGTTTTYGATAAAATGGCAAAACTTTCATGTTTCTTCTCAGCTGAGTTATATTGAAAAGTATTTGAACTTGACTTGTGCACCATTATCACTTTAAAGAAACCTAAACACTAGTTTCAAACTCTAAAAGGAATATGAACCATTTCCAATTTTCACTGATTCTGGTTAAAGTGTCTATTTAATAACAAACCTGATGATGATGAAAGTATATTTACAGAAGCAGGAGATGTATCATTGAGYGCCTCCTGATAGCCCCAAGTTGCAAGAAACCACTAGATAATAGAAAACACATTTTTAATTCAATGACTATAATTTACAATATCATGATTAWATAACAAAAGTGAGTGTAAAAAGAAAGATTTTTCCAAAATGTCTTTTGAACTCTAATATATTATATAATATTATTGATTAGCTTACCAGAAAACAAAATGTCACTGCAATCTTGGCAACTTTTGMTAAACTCATTTTGTCATCAAGAATTTTTAAACGTTCAGTGACATCATGTGACATTCTTGCTAAGCTTGCTGCTTCCTCGCGTCCTATAGAATAGATAAAATTATGGCATACAAAGAAGTCTAAATATGGAATTTTACAATTATACTATGATTCATYATGGCAGGAAGTCTTAATTATATATAGTTTCAAATATAGGTCACAAATGAAAGTTCTTGTCAAAAGGATGCATTTATAAATCAAAACATAAAATGAGCCACGGCCCTGATTTCAATCAACTGAACTGAAGATGTGAATGTCATTATCACTCTGAAATTATTTGCCTTAGTTTTCAATTCTTCATTTTATTTTCATTCTTTCATTAATTTAATTTTCATTCTTCTATGGAGTGTCACAGTGCTTACAGAACTTTTATATTTTATTTCCTTATTTTGAAACAACATCATGTTTGGTGCCTTTTTGCATGGAGTGTCCTTTTGCRTTGGCAGTTGAGATAAAGTATTTWTATGGTTGGATGACCACATACAATGGAAATATGTAGCTAATAACTTTATGAATGAATCAACTACCAACCATAAAAATATTTATATCTCTGCTATAAATGGATCTAGGCCACTGAGCTTGGTATACAATCATCTATTTTCTATTCACTGCATATAGTCATAATTTCTGTGTGTTTATATTCAGAACTTAGGAAACATACCTTGAAGATGTCTAACCTCCCTGTAGCTGTTGAAGTGTACGTGTCGTTTGACTAAAGCAAGATTAGGGAATTAAAAGAAAACACTCCATTAGAATATGACATGACAATAGTATGAGGCAGACGGAACATCAATAGACAAAGATGTGGGTTTAAAAATATAAAAGATGAAGCCAAGTTTAACCCAATAAAAGTGTTTTGATAAGCAAATCAATTATCTTTAGCTTCCCAAATTGATGGATTCTAAATTTTAATTAAAAGTTGTTTTGGCTACGTAAAACAAAGGCATTGATACAGTGATTTTTCCTGAGTGTTATAACCTCTAATATCATTCATGAATTTCTGAAGAGCTATTCATGGACAAGTGTTATTTTAATTTCTTTTAAATACAAAAAATTGATATTAATAGTATTTACTTGAACCAGACTCAGAATTATGTTGACTTTCATTAGCCTGGCTGATCTCTTCATCTGTGATTGGTTCAAATGTAGACTCAGTCTAATAAACACAACACATATTTATTMAATAATAAACTTAGCACTTACTATACACCTTTTTGTAAGAGAGAGCTTTGCACTTGAATTAAGCAGTCTATAATAATAATAGGTCAATCAACAGGAACCAGTAATTGCAATTTTAATCTCTGACTACTCCTTTATATTCCTCAATATCAAATTGGTTTTGTGAAGATTAGCATCATCAATTAACACTGAATGCAGAGACAATGGTGATTGTTTGGGCGAGTAAATGACAGTAATTTTAGTCAAGTGACCAATGATATACTACCATATTAAAACAAAGTCTCTTGTCTTCTTATAAGCACTAAATATCCATAGGAACCATGGTATATCTAGCTATTAATGAAATTAAGGATAATATCCAAAAATTCGTACCAGATACTGCCTCTGCGTAATTAGGCCTGGTGATGAAGACCTTGATGACTGTGGACTGGAGAGCAATGAGCTACTTTCTGTAGACCTKATCTCATTATTTGTATTAACTCTGAATGACCTTGTTATATTCTACCCAAACAAATATWATTATCAGTATTGACATTTCTTAACAATTAAAATTAATTACTAGGTATGGGTTGCTCAAATCATGAAAGCATTTACAGGTTTAACTAATAAACAAAATGGTCTTCTAGGGTATTTCTTCTCACTTAATATGTTTTTCCTGCAAGCAGTGGAAGTTTCCTTTGATTTCTACAAATAAAAGTAAAGTAGCTACTGGTAGTTTTTGCTTGGAGAAGGGGAAGAAAAGACTGCTCCCAGGTTGCCCTCTAATTATCTACAAGCATATTGAACCACTAATTTTGTTCATCTGGAATAAACTAAAATGCGGTTTTGCACTCACTGATGATGCCGATGATTTTTTACTGAAGCACCTCATACATTGGTACTGCCATGGATGGTAGAACAGAAAACCAACCAAATACATCATAAAGGCAGATGTCTTGARATATGTCGTAAAAAACGGTTTATTGTAACCTTCTCCTTTAAAAATGTACTGAAAAAATACAAAGGTAAAAATGTGAAATGATACTGGAGAATTTTTTACATAAACTTTATGTCGATTTACGTGGGAAGAGTAAAGATAAGCTTTAATTTTTACCATATTAGTAGTTCTTGAATTATGAACGAGTTTTAGCATGTCTTATAACTCACACAAAGATATATCGATACATATGTTTACAATCTTCGGCACAAAATATCATGAAAACCTTTATATAATAGTTTGGACTAATCTAGTATACTTACAGAACTGAGTTCGGCTGATACAACCCATATGACATTGACAAGAAGGAGCACAACTACACCAAGAGCCAAACGGCGCTTACCGCGAATATTTTCATCAGATGAGAATAGAAAATATTTCGTCGTACTCCATAGAGATTTTAATTTACTTATACACGGCATGACACCCGTTATAATAAGGTCCTTCAAAAACTGCGGAAACAACGTCCTTGACGGTTACCCAGGGCACATCAAGTCATCGGAGTCATCTACAGTGTTAATGTTGTCTCATCGCATGACAGATTTTAGTGGACGAATCGATCCTTTTATGAAATCATTTCACGAAAAATACATCCCAGCTGCGTCTTATTGCCATAAAAGCGCCTTAATATGGTTTCTTCGACACTGTTCTAGGATTGTTGACAGACATGTTTTCATATAAAGTAGTCAAATCACTGAAAAATGTTGATAATATTTTAGCGTACACCGCTGACTCAGAGGACTACAAACAGGAAACCCAAAACAGCTGAACACAGTGTGTTGTATATTTGTTTTGTTTAAAGTTTTGTCCTTTTGTCTTGTTTTTATTTATTTATTTTCTTTATTTTTATTTTTATTTTTTATGTCCAGATACAAAATAATATATCTAAGACTTTTTTGCTTTTTTTGATGGTTTTTAATTTTTCTTTCTTTTTTTCTCTCCTGTCTACTAGCCTTTCATGTTCGTGAAATGCGCACATAAATTGTTATGACTAACAGCGACTGATTCAAATCTAGAGTCCATCCTACAAAACACATTATTGCCTCGGGATAACGAAAATCTTTTGTCATTAATTAAAGCTGGGTAGGAATGCAATTGGTTCATTTGCATTTAACAATGCTCACCAATTTATAGTTTTTATTTCAAAATAGTTCTGTTAATTTTTTTGTCTTTAATGTTTTTTTCTTCATTTCTTTCGTTTTCTGTGACGTCAACAGGAGACTGGACAGAAACAATCCTACTTCCGGTCTATTTGGCGGTCAATCATTATGCCCAACCATCAAGTGACCATTTGCCATACTCGTACTCGCASATCCGCAGATTGGCAAAACGAGCTTTTGTAGTGTTTTGATCAAGTGTACGGGCGCAATAGTAGTGTCAAAATCCATCTTTTTAAAAAAGGAAAATACGGAAATATCACAGATCAGCTTCAGTTACGACAGCAACTCGATCAGTGTTGAGCACGAGAGAAAATGGTAAATTGACCCGGCTATTCGTATAGTAGTCTTTGAGCCACTCTTGTACTTTGTTTAGTGAACTACCGCTTTGGGAAGGCCGGTATTTCTTATCTCTTCCGTCTGGCTTTCGGTGGCAAACGCTAAACTTACGTATTCAGTGTTCTGTAAACATCGCTGCTAAGAAACTTTTGATACCGTAGAAACAACAGCTGACGAAAGTTTGTTCTACTTGATGGACTGCATGGAAACATATATGAAAAGGTAACCAAATCATACCTATTAAAACGCCTAAAATATACCAAATTCTTTTAAAAAGTTTGCAAGAGTGAGTTTTAATCTATTTTTATTGTTTTAGAGGAATACAGTGAAAAGACTGAAGATAGGACAGCTATAAAACTGAACGCGTTTCAAGGGACTTCAAGAAGAAAATGGCGTCGAGGAGCAAAGCGCTCAAAGAACCTATTTTAGAGGACGATAAATCCGACGAAAATGACTTTGAAGACAATGATGACCAGCCGGTTATMAATTCAAAAGAAAAGAACGACCTAAAGGTGAAACAAATTTCGCAAGACGAACGCTTGAAGCCATCCAGAGCCGAAGTAGAGGCGACGCTGGTTTCTAACTCAATCCAAGCAGCTGGCAATATCGAGAGCAAAATGTCACATGTCGACAACGATGCTGGAGCTTCTTCGGGCTCATTTAAGCGTCTAAATTCAAATCTTGAAGGGTCAGGGAATGCTGAAAGGCCAGTTTCTTCGTCCAAACACAGTTCGAGTTGGATAAGTTTTGAAGATGACCTTGTAGAGAAGACTTCTAAAAGCATGGCAACAAAACAAAATATCGTGGGAACTCCCCTCGCACCGGTTGTCAATGGTGATTTGAATCATCGAATTGACCAAACTACGACTATTGCACATAATAATTTTGATGGCATTGCAAAGAAACCACAGGAGAAACTTTCTGAATATCCTAAAACAAAGAACCCACTTCCTCAAGATGCCTCAAATACTTCGATTGATTCAAATATACAACAAATAAATGGTCATATAAGCCAAAATGTCGACGAACTCTCCAGTCCTTACTGGGTTACCTTTGATGAAGATTCCAAAGGCGCTATGTCCACAGGTAGATCAGCCACTGTTTCTAGTTCAGGTTCTGCACATCCTCTTTCTCCTACACAACCAGACTGGGTCACATTTGATGAATTATCAAAGCAAATGAAAGGTGATCTAAGTGTCAATGTATCCATTCCTGATCAAACATTTGCTGAACCGTCCACTCCAAGTCCCAATCCCTTTTTAAATGCACCAATGAGCATAAGCATGACTAAGAATCAATCTGGTTTACAAGGACCAAGCCCTCTATCTGTTGTTACTAATACCAATCCTTTTCTTACTGATGAAAGTGTGTTAGGCCTACCAGCCACCAGCATTGCTCCATAYCCCCTTGTATTAGATCAACAGGGCGTTGATCTGTCCCAGTGGCATGATGTCAGTGTTTTAGAACGAGGATTCAAACCAGATGGAACCCCAAATGATGAAGTTCCTCCACCTCTACCGCAGACAGAGGAAGCAATCGCTGTAACCCCTACTGTTGTTGATCACATAGAAGAGGGAATTACTAAAGTAGCAGAGGTGACGGCAGAAGAGAAACCTTCTGTGATAGAAGAATCTGACAGTGAATCTCTTGGCGAAGATTTTTCATTGGCAACAACAAACACGTCTTGGAACATGTTTCTTCGCTTTCCAGATAAAAAGAGAAAGATAACCCCAAGGGAATGGAAATCGGTTGTGATTAAATTGGATGGGAACACCCTACAAATTTATGAAGAATATGAACTTTCTGCCCCTTTTAGAGAAATTCCACTTCAAGCCAGCTTCAGTTTTGACCCCCTGAGGCTTCAGCCAAGTGGTCGACATGGAAAAGTGCACACTACCAAGCTGGTTTACTTGAATTATAAAGAAACAAGAAGTGTCAGGCAAAAAGGAACCTATGAGCACATTGCAGAAGGTATGCCGATAATCAAAGTTGGGTCCCAAAGTCATATTGTCATGAGAGAATTTATGGAAGCCATAGGMAACTCTATCCGTACTTTACCAGCTTACAGAGATAGAGGCATCACATACCGTAAGGATGAAGTGTTTGTTGATATAGATGACACTTGTTATGCTCTAGTTGGTGGTGATGGTACTGTTAAGAAACAAGGTGGGAATGTAATGGTGAAGATTAGAGCTTTYCTKACTGGTGAYCCTGAATGTCAGCTTGTCCTCAAYGATGTTACTGTAAAAGAAAGAGAAGAAGCACGGCTGAGAGGTGAAYTRAARCCTCAACGTGTGCAYCACTGGATCAAGATCAGAGAATGTAATTTCCACAAATGCGTTGATGAAACTTCATTCAGTGATTCCCATGCGATCATTTTTCACCCATTAGATGCATGTACATTTGAGCTAATGAGATTTAGAGTGAAGCAACACAAACCTCTTCCACTTTGCGTGAAAGCTGCCCTGACCATACACAGTGAACAAAGAATAGAACTAAGTGCAGAAATCAAGCTCTGTCAAGATACTAAAATGTCCAAATATGCTAGAAATAATGTAACTTTTAGACTGCCCATCCCCGAGACCTGGGTACCCCTCTTCAGAACAGGAGGCTTTTTAGGAAGGGAGAAGTCAATCAAATCTAGTAAAGGCAAGCGTGCTGCTGGCATTAAAAGTAGACTGAAACATTCAAAGTGTTCAATTGCTGCCAGTCTTGGCACTGCAAAGTATGAAGCAGAGTATTCTGCTGTGGTGTGGAGGATTGACAAGCTTCCTCTTATACAGAGCAACGTCCCTGTTGATGCCCCGCAGACACTCAACTGCGTCCTTGAATTGCCTCGTGGGATGGAGTGCCCAGAAACCTATCGACCTTATGCTGAACTTGAATATGATGTTTCTCATGATATTCTCTCTGACACTACAGTCATAGCTGTTAAGGTATCCAACAAGAGCATTCCAGAGAAGTGGGTTTGCTATCGTGCCTTCTACCAATATCATATTGACATGGATGTGCATAGGCCATCCACAGGACCCGTTAAAGATGTTGGTTGTGCTCAGCAGTGATGATAGTAGGTGTACGAAATATTACTTTAGTTTTCTCAAAGCTATAAACAAGTAACTTATTTGTGTATTAACTTGATTTTCCTAATTAAGGTTTTTGATTTTGATTTTTAGCTTTTATGGTGTAAAATGAATACAATTTGTTAATTTGAGCCATAAGTAAATGTATGTAATTTTGATTGTTTTAATTAGATTGTGGTTTTGTGGATGGGATTTTTAGCACAAACAGTGTTCTGTTTTTTAGCGCTAAAAATCTTGGYTAGATTATCAAATTACTGGATTATTCAATCATGTTCAAATTCATTAGCCTTCATATCTTCCATTTGGTTTGACAACAAAAACACAGATTAACAGACCAACACTGATGGTCAATGTAGCTTAAATTTTGCTTTATAAGCTTAGAAGAGGCTTTGTCATTTCCTATGCTGTTACTCAACTTAATTTGAAGCATGGCCTGTTATTATTGACAAAGATATTGTAGATTTTTGCATAATTGAGTGCACCTGCTTTTTCAAAGCTCATGAAAATTATTGTATTTCTGATCTAAACTAAAAATCACTGCCCATATTCAAAGTTCAAGCAAAATAAGAAATGTTTTCAAATCATACTAATGAATTTGTGAAACCATTAGATTGGTATATTACATGTTTTTAGTCATCAAATATATGCTTTTTGGTGATAACAACTTAAAGTAAATATTGGCCAGTATTCTCTTATCATAGTCCTCATTTACATTTCTTTTTGTGCATATTTTCAAAACAGCATTATCTGCCAGTCTTATGTGTATTATCTTAGCTTTCAACCTACTATGTAAAAGGCTTACATTTAGGATATTACTCCAAAATAAAATCTTGAGCTAACATACTTGTAGTGATTCATCTGAAACATTTTGTATATTGTAAAGTATAAATACAGTTGTGCTAAATTTCCCATTACAGCATGTACAAAAATAAGTGGTTAATAACATGAAAATTCAATGTATATACCAAATCTAAATAGTACATTGTAAATACCATTCAAATAGCAGTTTGAAAGCAGCATTGAGTTTTTATTAGATTGAATTTATTAATTCACTAGTTTTTTAAAATTGGTAGGATATTGGGTTATGATGAAATATGTATTTATTCGTCGCAGGGAAAGATAATGACATGTAGGTCTTACTGATAATAATATTGTGTTACTATGGCAATGTAAAACAAAAACCACTCAATTCAGTTTTTTTTTTTTCTTTTTCAAAGAAATCCTTGTTGATGGTGTCAAACCTTGGTAATCATTTACAGTTAATCAGGCCATAATTAGTATGTTTGATAAAAGCAGTTTTTTAATAAATATCACAAACAAGACCTTGAATAGTTGTTCAAAATGGTTGATTTCAATTACCACAATCTTATTAGGAAATCCCAAATCTTATTAACCTGTCTTTGTTTTACTTTGCTACATAGCAATGCCTATTAAATTTGTCAAAACTGACATTGGTCAAAAGATCCAACTATAATCGGTATGTAATTTAAAATACATCTTGATCTGACCAGGAAAAGCTTGCCAAATTGTCCAAAAAAATCCATCAGACCTTTGCAGCATGTCTTTTCCTGTCATATCAAATATCATAATAATTATGTAGATAATAATATAATAAYAATAATAATTTAACAATGATCTTAATTGTATTTTAGCTTAAAACAAAGGTTGTGTACTATGTGACTACRGTTTTCAATGACACTTGTTTTGAATGACATCCTTTGATGCTTCAAAATTCTAAGTTTGAAGTTGATCTCTTCAGAGTTAAACGCCATCATATTTAAGCAAGTTTCAATAATTTATAAAAATCATTCTAATATTTATGTCTTCTGTAGTTGTGTTTTGTTTCTTGACTCTTTCTTCACTGTTGTACACCTGATCGAATTTATTGACGTAACAAGCAAAGTCTAGAAACTTAGAGTCCTTTCAGTTCTCAGATTTTACAATTTGCATCACGTGTATAACTATAGAGTACCGGTATATACTAGAGTGAGCGCACTTAATTCGTGAAATATTGCTAACCTCTTTGTACTATTTTGTGCAATTTAGTAAATGGTGTTCRTAAATACACAATGGTTATTCAAAGACTGTTGTGCTTTTGAATTTGTACAATTTCACAAATTAAATTGTGAGCACTCGAACCATGGTTTGTCCAACAGAAAATAACAATAACAATAGTTTAACAACACTTATCCCACATGTAAGAGAACTGATGGTATGTCATATAATGATTAATAACAGAGTCTTAGACAACTTGTAAGAGAGTACCTTTTTAGATGTGACATTGTTTGAATGTGAGCATTTTTGATTTTCTTTAACATGCCTAACACAATATACACGTAGCATGTAAATAAGACAACCTATTATATTGTTCAATAAATGTCATTTATTGTGTTCACTATGTCTGTGCTTATATTCCTACTATCCCAGGAAAGATCTAAGATTTTTTTCAAAGAGAAGGCTGTAGTGTAAGGTGGCAGACCAGAAGCAAATTGACTTTTATTGGAACGTATCTTTGACTACACTACTCAGATTGCCAAGCAGCATAGTGGCAGACACACTTGTGTATACTACTAGTTTTTTCGATAAAGTACAACAGGAGTATAAACAGAAAGAAAAATTTTTTATACTAATATATATATAAAAAATTATGTCGTTCGGAAAAGGGGGGGGGGTGTCCACACCCAAATCTCCTCCCCTGGATCCACCCCTGGAGAAACCATGATATCATGTTTTGCAATAACTGAATTGTGTCATGATCGGCAAGTAATATTTTTTCCAATTTTTTTGAAGCAATTTCAAATCTATAATTCTGAAAGCTTGGAAAGGTAGGAGGGGAGCAACCATATAACCATCAGTTGATTGACTTTGTGCAATGTATTGAGAAATGTTGGATTCAAAGTTTCCAATAGTAGCTATCAGGTTTATTTATTTATTCTGTTTTCTAAAAAGTGTTTTACAACAAATTATTACATTGACATTGTTCACAACCACAAAAATGCAAAGTTGGTGGTCTRTCATCAATTTTTCCACACTCTTACTTTCCATTCATGATTAATTCATTAATAATTAATTAATTAATTTTAATAGATTGAAAATATTCAAAAAGTAACTTTGTAAGGAATGTCAACCACAAACCATATGAGGAATCCACATTTACAGGGGCATATCTAGGACTCAACATCACTAGAGGGTCCCTGCATACAAAATTCTTAATTTGATGTCTCTGTATCACTCAATATTTCGTCATAGAAATCTGTTATTTCATACGGGAAAAGAAACTTTACTCTGCTGCCAAATTTTTATTTTKRCAAWTTTTTCAATTWATTAAGCTTTTAGAGCTGCRTGACAGGCACCCTATTTGACACCCCCTCTAAACACGCCCTTGTTAAATGTGTTCCAATGAAATCAGAAAYATGGTTGCAAATCATGCAAGAGCCCCATGATTGATACTGAATTTTACTCAGTTCCCATTTCATTAATTCAAATATCTACTCTCRTTTAGTTATAAAGTCTAAAAGTAATTCTATTTCACCAAAAGTCAGCTCTAATCATTTTTTTCAATTTTTTTCTCTTTACTCTTTCCAATTCCAACTAACTCGTTTATTTTCTGCTTGACCTTGCGGTACTCCTCTTTTGTAAAGTGTTTTTCCAACACTGGGTCTCTTAGAGACAGCAAGTTGTCAGAGTATCGGGCCAGTGTCAGCAGTGCGAGTATGTACCCATTTGGGCTTTCTTCCTCTAATGTCACCCCGCGAATCTGGCTTACCAATTGATCTTCAAGACCTAAAAAAGTGAATAAATAGATAATGTAAAAATGGCAGCATAAAGGAAARTATTATAGGAGACTAATCTTTCGCTTGACCACGCCCATAGACAATAGGGGATAGCGCAAACAYGGGATACACTCTCCTGCTCCAGTTATCCTTTGCGGTTGTTTAATCAATACGTYTTCATGTTTTTCGTGACTCGGGCCTACAATTGTTACCTCATTATTTGTGATCCACGTTAAAAGTCTTACTGACCATCCTTGCATAAATAAGCCAAATTTCTATTGGGGAGATAAGGTGATTCCTGCATGTTGACCAGTGGAAATCAAAGCCAAATTTGGCGTTACCACCTCATCTCGCTCCCCTCCATTTGGCTCATGTTAGATCCAAGGATACTCTTTAGGGCCAGTGTCGCATGGAATGAGGGCTACATGGTACCAAAGTGAGCAATGTCATGAAAATTGTAAACTGCCCTCGTGCGATTGTAGTTAATGCGAGCCCTCAATTGATAAAGGGCGCATAATGTAGGTCTTCAGTGCTTCACAACTAATCGACTGGAAATAATGTAACAGTAAACGCAATAATCATATATTGAAGAAAATCTCTCTAGAGTACCAAAATCTATATTGCAGCATTTCGAGTTCACTTTGTGAGACTGCGATGTCCGTAAAATAAATGGTTTCTTTTGTTCGCCACTTGGCGAACAAAAGAAAATAAAGAAAGAAAGAAAGAAAGAAAGAAAAGAAAAAATAAAATAAACAACAAAGAAAAGTTTAACAGGACGATCAACTGGGGAATCGAACCCTAAACCAAAAGATTCGAAAACGATTAGGACGGTTCCCCCAAGACATCCTATTAAGCTGTGGCGTCGAATCGATTTACATTTCGGGTAGAGATTTCGGCTCTCCCATGCTATCCCAATAATTGGGCTTGAGTTCGCGCTAACTAAAAAGTCAGTGAGGGAGAAGCTAATCGGCCCCTAGACCATCGACGATTAAACTCTTGCACTAACTAGGCAACTATCGAAAATAACTTTGCCAAATTGGGATTCGGTGAAAGTGTCATTGAAAGGGTGATACCGTAGTCCATGCGGTTAAGTCGCATTCGAAGATCCTTGTTCGATTCCCGTTATAATCTTGTAAATTAATTTTTTTCTTTTTTCTTCATGAATTCTACATTTCTTCTTAGTAGCAGTTGTGGTTTTTATAAAAGTTGGAGTTTTGCCGTATAACTCACGCGTTTACTGACTAAAGTCCTCTCAGCCCGGGGGGGGGACTCCCTAATATCAAAGGGCGGGGGTCCTCGGCGGAGATTGTGAAAATGACCCCTAAAAGGGACATCTATTGTGAGATGATGGGCGTGGCAGTGCTGAAATTTCAACCCTAAAAGGGACCAATCAATAACAGGTCATTTTGTTTTGGTTTACACAATCATCGAACACCGTCGGCTCGTATTGAGTTTATGACGACGTTGCCATTTTATAACTGCTTAGGGTCGCCGTATACCCTAAAAGGGACCACAAAACATAGTTGGTAGAAATTCTTGTCATGATCACCCTAAGCGGGACCAAAATACTGATTTCAAACCCTAAAAGGGACGCCGAGGACCCCCGCCCTTTGATATTAGGGAGTCCCCCCCCCCGGGCCTCTCAGTATGTTGTAAAGTTTTTAAGGGGGGTATGTTGTAATTTTTTTAAGGGGGTTCCAAACAAATTTTATTTATCATACATGTACCTTGATTGACTGTGGGGTATTTACGACCAAATAAATTCTCTTTCATTTCGAGTATTCCCAGCCCAACCAAACTGTCTAACGTGATAGTGGAGCAATAATGTTTTTTCTTCTCATGGCTAACATCATGATATATCCAGTCTTTGACTTTGTCTGGCCTGGTTGGATGCTTATGATGGTGTTCTATAATCTTGTCAAATAAAGCTGTGTCTAGGTACGTCCCTGTGGGATTGTCATCTATTACCTGTTGATAAATATTAGTATTGATTATAATTGCAATTTTCTGAAGTTCAAACAGGGGTTTGCTGCCATGACACGATGCAGTTTAMAGCAATGAAGAAACCGATGCCATAAATAAAAAGCCTAAAATAATTACAGCCGCTGAGTTGGAGCGTATTCAGACAAATAATTACAGAGCAGCAAGSGTTGAAAACTCGAAAAAATACTACATAAAGAATGAAAGCGSTTCAGGGCAGCGTCCCCAAAACCATACATTTGTCTTATTTTTTGCAAATTTCAAAAATAGTTTCAAACTTGAACATATCACTAGTTGTAGTTTGGTCTTTCATATAGTGAGGTCTAATTTAACTTTCGTTAAGTGGACRATTTTCGCACTCGTTCCTTGAATTTCGGAATGACCAATAGAATGACCAATAAGTGGACGAGGTACCCTGTGGAGCCTRTAGGGCCGGTTGCTATCTCGTTAATCCATTTTTTTAATATGACTAAAAATAAACCCTTTCTAGTCTGCCATTTTAAGTTAACAGAGTCAAAAGCGTTAGAAAAGCACGCTGACAAGACACTTCATTATTTTTTTGCCTAGTAGATAGGGAGTAGATATTCAAGATGTAATTTCATAGTTCTTGTAATAGATAATTCGTATTTTTAGTAACAATTATAGTTTTAATATTTTTAATTAGCTCATATTTTATCAAGTTATAATATAGTTTTGAATGTATAGTTAGCTTTTTAACCTAATAGTTTAATTTTAGGAGGTCCTTTTTGTAAACCATTTCTTTGTAAATGAACTAAAGTTTCCTCAATAAAGATTATTATTATTATTATTATTATTATTATTATTATTATTATTATTATTATTATTATTATTATTATTATTATTATTATTATTATTATTATTATTATTATTATTATTATTATTATTATAAACTTATACAAATTCAACGAGAGTACAACAAACATCACTATTAACATTTATGTAACAAATTAGATCGATCCTCCTTGGAACTGTGTGCGTTATGCCGGATAGTTGGCTTCCATCCGATCGGGTAAAAAAATTGAATTCCAAGATTGACACTCAACGGTTTTTTTCGTGGATTATTTTTCTTTAGAAACATATGTTGAGCACTCCGGCCTGTGAGAACCTGATAGCGCACTACAGTTTTTCTGAAAGTCCTCTATGTTCCCTGAGGCTAACAAAAATAACTTCCATCGAACTCACAAGAGCCAACTCTATTAAATGAAGTGCACTCCCACTTTGCCTCTGTTAACTTAATGTCTGAATACTATACTATGCCCATTATTGGATTATGCACCTGCCGAGTCTGTTCAACTCGTCAAATTACACATTCAATATTTTGACATAAAAATGAATAAGACTATTCTTGAAACTGAATGACATTAGTAAYATTTGTTATAATCAGTAGGGGCAAACTGGTCTAATTTCCCCACCTAAACACAGTAATTAACTGCTCGATTAATGTTGACATTATGCCATTTATGTAGTGACTTTAATCTTTCGTTGTTTTCGGCTTATTCCATTTCTATCCATGTATAATGCTCTGCAATTATCTTGATGTATAGAAAAACACCTTTTTCTTTCTATAGYTAACGCTATTTCCATAGAGACAGCGACGAGGCCCACGGGCCATGGATATTAGGTCTACTAATTGAATCCTTGTATAGTTCACAATGTATCACCAATTAAAACAGATGGACGAAGAAAAAACAACAAAAAACAAGAGATGTTTGTGGTATTTCAGGTCATTGAGCACTTTTGTTATGATTTGCTCAACGAAACGAAAATAGCATCGAAAGTAAAGTTTATTATTATATAAAAAGAAAATGTTTTTCAAAATATAGTTTGAGACTATTAAAAACGGTCCCATTATCGCAAGATTRGTAAGGTATCGTTAAAGACTGCCTAATTCGGCGTTTTCACTTTTAATGTGTATTTTGGAATAGAAAGGAAGAGATCGAGCCAATTTCGTCAGATGAGATAGCACAGAAACCGCATCGCGCCGCAATAAAAAAAACTTAAATGAAAACAATTTTATGCATGAAAATCAGCATTCCTTTTTTTTCACTGTTCACATACCGTCACGCACTCTAGCACCCTGATTTTCTTTTCTAACCGAAGAGCTGAGTAACTGTTTTTAAATTATTCATTATAAGCAAGTCCTCATGGCTCATGCATAAATCCTAAATCGCGTTCACCGCCGTTTTCATTATAGTCGGTTTTCTCATCCCCCCTGGAGCCAGCATATCCCAAATATTAGGCTGTATATTTGGATATATTTATCTAAAGCTGTGCTAAAGTTTTGGCAATTCACTTGTGGATATTTACGACTGTTAATACCTGTTAAAATGATGTTTAATGTTTATGTTTTGTACCTTGAGAAGGATTTTATCGTTCTTAATGCCAAGCGTTTTGTTTGGCTCAATTTCCACTTCTACTTTTCCCAGTACCACTAAATCGATCAAAACTGCCGCTGCGGCTCCACCATTTGTTTCAACGCTTATCTTTCTGCCATCAACATCTCCACTTTCCGAGTCTTGCCACAATAGGCAGTACGCTTGCGAGACTTTCAGGTTTTCACTCCGACATACTTCTTTATCAAAGTAGCTGGAATTGACGATTTCTTTAACCGCCTTTGCCATTTCTTTAGACGTTTGCTCCAATCTATACTGGAACGCTTCGGAAGCGACATTTGAACTTGCAGCCATCTTTAGCTAGCGAAACTGACAGTATCAATAGGTTGAGTACACTAGTTGGGTTTCAAGTTGTCGAAAAGTGCATACACAAGTCACCGTGCTGTGTTTGCGTGATTATAATGAGGAATATCTGCACTCTGATTGGCTAATTCGAGTTGRTGGCACAGCAGTATATGTAACTTTTCATTTTCAAAGATGAAGTCCGTAGATCTTCTGCTTTTTAGAAATGATAAGATATACTCAAACGCCGAGTTTTTGTCYTGCRCCAAAATCATCTAAAGCTGAGCGCAACGCGTGGAAACGGCGAAAATCTATAAAATAACAGGCTTCAATCCGGAAAGAAAGCACATCACTTTATATATATACCTTATTTATTAAGCAACATCATTACTGATACACTTAAAACTCCAGTTTTGAATACCCAATGCCTATGCGTCAGAATTTTCTGTCATTGCTCAGTAGAAAGCTAAGAATGTTCGACAACCGGGTGTAAAATTAATCGTGCATAGACTATGGACGGCTTTGGAAGTTGGTGCCCGAGAAGTCTCACAGGTGCACGCACTTTCCWTGACGAGCACAGCTCAAGCCAAAAAAAAAAAAACCTGAACTGAAGACAATATGCAATTACGTCTGTTGGATTACTTGTCATTGCAAGAATTAACTGCGTTGCTTGTAATCTTCCTTATCTCTCTCGTTACAAGCGCACGTTCTTTGTGCTTAGTTTTTGTTTTCTTTCAATTTTCGCTGGGTTCTCCGAATGTGTTATTCCACGATCGAGTCCAAAGACTTTTGGTGACTTCAACTTTTCGGAACTTCCAACGCTCTTTCGGACGCGTCTGCCTGTCAATTCAGAGCGGGAAATTACATCGGCGATGTATTTTTTTAATATTATCATTCAATCAGTCGTCTTTGTATATTTTCCTTTCCGAGTTCTTTTTGATTTGCCGATCTCAGGAATAACTTAGTAAGCAGTATTTTTACCCTTGTTCTCGAAAAACTATCGGTACACTGTACGAAATATATAGTTACTTTCAGTTTAATGTCGAATTAAACCATTAATTCATTTGTGTCGACTTACAGGCCAGCCGGAGCAATCCATATGAATTATTCAGTCCACAGTGTACTGTACCAATATGTGAAATATGGCACATATACAAACTTAATAAATATCCTGTCGGACTGTCATAGAATTAATAATAATTGCATGCTGCCTTGTGTGGTAGTACAAACTGAAACTTTGTGCTTCCTTTCATCTATTGTATAGTTTACATTGTTKAAAATATCAGTAAAAGTTGATTCAAACATTAACAATACAAAACTGATCAAAAAATTTAAGDTATCCGGCCTTTTTTCTTGGCAATACTGTTCTGAACGTCAATCTGTGTGATATCTGACAACCACATACTGTTATYTCTGGTACCAGTGAGTGTTTTCGAACGAACTAATACACTAACTAGAGACTATTAGGTGATAGTTTTCAATGATATTTTGCTGTTGTTGTTATTATTATTACTTTGGTGGTGAACAAGCAGTTGCAGTTGGTCTGTCTCATATGATGCACCAATGACAAGTCGTAGGTAAATAAAACCATCACAGGCACCTGCGCCTGGCGAGCGAAAGTAAATCTGAAGAGTTTACGACATTCGTTCATAGATTGTTGTTKTTTCTTTTAATTTTCAGTTTTATGTCGTGCATTTTTTTTGGTTTTCCCGCCAAACAAGTACGAATTATTATGGAATAGAATTGTTGTAACGCAAGCTGACAAGATTAGCTAGTATAATTTATGCAKCTCACTTCGCAAATTAAACAAAAAATCTATAAATAGAAGCTGTAAGTAACTAAACTTTGCATAAATAAAACTCTTACCTATTATATTCTGACAGATAATTATCGCTATTACAATGATCACTGATCGTTCTCATTTTTATTATTATCCTTGTCACCATCTGTTTCGAGTCGCATCATCTTCATCATCATTATCATTATTCATTATCAAAGCGATAATCTAGAACTGGGGTCATCTCTCCAGCGGATAAATAAAAACTTGATCCAAAGGATAAGAAGATCGAAAAATCTGTACGCCGGATTAATATTTTTCCGGTACTTTTGATAAGTTCATCCAACTCTTAGCACAGCCGGATTCACTGCTGTAGCACATGCAGCGTCAGGCGCGATTGTTCCCACAAGGCCAAGATGTAAACAAAGTTACTTTAAAATAAGATGATAGAAAAAATAATTTTTTAACCTTAAATCGTTAGAATACTAAAGAAATATCATTTTCTTTTAGGTATATTTTTCAGGATTTCTACATTTGTKCTGTAGTGCGCATCGCATTTCGCAACTGTCATAAACCCATTGATGCATGTCAGGGTGATTGACATGTCTAAATGCTCTTGAACGATTGGATTGTGCTTCGCACACCGTAAAAACAGTGTTGGATTCCACATATTTCTCGAGATGGAGGAATTTTGACCCTTTCCTCGACACTTTAGCGAGATAATACCGAGACTAAAAGTTTGTCTTCATGATGGCAAAGTGGGATTCAAGAAATCTTGAAATACGCAGTAAATCTGTGGAACAGACTCTTATTCCTCTAGTAACTCAGGTCTGTATTGGTCCTCGTCTTCACGACAAAAACATTGTAGTTCTGTCCAACAATTCACGCTTTTGAAGTGGACTTGGATGTGCTTTTAACGTCTTCTCAAACATGCTGTGTTCTTCAAACAACCCGTTTTATTGATATTGTACTTTTTGAGTTGTTTGACTCATTTTTTGTTTTTCTTTAGATAACTACCCTAGTCAACCACAAAGACCGTTGCARACGTTCCGAGAAGGGACGGCAAGCCATCCGAGAAGTCGGAGAAGCTGTCAAAAATGCTGTATGTAAGTTTGTCACTGTCGGTGAACAAATTGCCAAGGAAAACGAAGATGTTGCTGTGGAAATGCAAGAAGCTTGCGAAGAGGCGAGAAAGGCCGGCGAGGTTATTTCACGTTTGACCTCAACTACTGCCATGGCGGCCGTATCYGAGGACGATGGCATCCCATTCGAAAAGACTGGCATGGTCCGTGCAGCTCGGTCCTTGCTGTCTGCAGTGACAAGAGTACTTATCATCGCTGACTCAGTTGTCATCAAACGACTTCTCCGCGTTGTGAAAAAGGTAAGAAAAACAAGTTATAGTAAATAGAACGTACYAACTTCAGTGACAAATGCTAGAACATGTTGTAAGCTTGATTGACAACCTACTTCTAGATTTTCGCGCGATTTATTTTTATAATCCATTGGTTTCAAAATCTTAAACCCAAAACAATATTTACCATCTTAAGATTCCTCTTCAACCGCTTATCAGTTCGAAATTGCTAGTTTCAGTAGTAATTTGYGGTTTTCCAACAAATCGCAACATAACCACGAAAATGTTGTTTAGTAATCCCTCTTTTGATCGATTGTCCAGATTGGAAACTTCGATTTTTTTGACTAAGAGAAATAGATGTTCTAGAACCTCTCACTCAGTAACTCATTTGCTTCTAAGATATGTCGATTTAAATTCTGATAATTTTGAATAACTGTTCTCAGTAAACACTTTTGAAAAAAAATCTTCATGTAGTTCTTTTSACTTATTAAACTTAAACTTAAAAAGGTAATACTTTAGTTATGTATACAGTGATACGAYTTTATTATCAGATAGTTTTTATTTGTAATAAGGGGGAAATACAGATTAAATGTTTTTAGTATATCGAGTATTTAAAGACGATGTCCATATTTGGTCTGTACAGTAATTGTTTACATTCGAGTTAAGCATTATTTACTATCGCTATTTGCTATAGGCATATGTCCTGTGTCTGAGCTTGTCTTTGTGTACACTATCAATTTCAAATGTGTCTTCTTCAAGTGGTCATAAAAATCTTTGTCGATATTGAACGATTTTACATAATGGTCAAAATACCAAACTTGGGAATATTTTACTGCAAAAGACATAACAAATATATTTTACCCAAAATAATAATTAACAGTCTAAACATGAACATCTGGTTTGGTGCGCTAATGAAATGCTATAAAAACAATTTTTATTCTGTGCTAAAAGTTTTTCTAGAAAAATAGGTAATAAATTATTTAGTTATAAATTGTTAAAATCATGTATTATTAACTTGGATTTTTTTCTCTGACATTAGCATAGTAACAATGTRCTGTAAATACTGCAACTGTTATCAAATATAATAACGCCTATCTTTATTCAACCAGATGTTGTGTTGGAGGGAAAAAATATGTGAAAAATTTGTACAATCAGTGAATGTGATTTATAGTTCATTTGATATCAACAACACAGTCCCACTGTGGTACATTGTACATTTTGAAACATTACAGAAATATGAAAAAACATTTATAACACTRTTATCATAATGAAGTCTTTATTATTCACTGGTTTTCTTGTACGATCTCAATTTTTCTGTGCAGAGTTTGTCAATGTTGATACACTAGCTGATGATTCTGTCTATTTAGGGAGGCTATTATATTATCTTTTACTTTGCTCACTGAGAAAAAAGTGATTATCTCAATTGATTACTATATAGTGGCACAACCCACTGTGGATCAGSTCAGCCAGAGCAATTCTAATATTTYCAAGTTAGGTTAWTTCMAAATTTTATGAATATCATCTTCTCCAGGTGTTCGCACATTTCTCTCTTTTTATCTGTGGCAGTCCTCAAAAATCATCAAATTGTACACATGAATAACTTGAGTGACTATACATAATAATAGTGCTTTAATTATTGCGTTTTCATTATTATGACAAAAATTAAAATGGGTTGAAAGTGGTGTGAATTAATATATATATAAAATGAAAATTTTAAATTGTGCAAGAGTTGAAAAAAGAAACCAAAATTACTTAGAACAGAGATCAAGGAAAAAACAAAATTGATTGATGCATCTTCTTTTTGAAAGAATCCTATGAAATATATAGTATTAAGCTTAGTATCTTAAAAACATCCATGCTCCATGACTATTAATTAATTGGTATTACTRCAAGTGGTCTAAAAGTAGTATGAGAATTATTGTTTATCATGTTTGGGTATATGATTGGTAGTATTCCAGAAAAAAAGGAAGGAAGAAAGGAAAAAATAACTTTATAGGTCGAAATTAATGTCTTTGATATGCATTTCAACTAGGTAATATCTYTTTAATGTTGTTCTTATTGTCAGGTTGATGAAAGACTTGAAAAACTTGAAACTGTGAATTCATTTACGGAATTTGTTCAAACATTTAGTCAGTTTGGTGCTGAAATGGTAGAGCTTGCTCATATCTCTGGAGATAGACAAAATGTAAGTGTTGTTGTGATAAATATAAAAGGTTGCAATATAGTCTCCATTACTGTTCATTGGGGCTGCACCTTGAAAGCTACCGTACCTTTGCATTGTAGCGAGATGACTTGGTGAGAGTGCTATGACAGAAGTAGGAGAAGGTTTCTGTTATTACACATGCACCCAGCTGTCTTGCTTTGTTCCAAAGTTTAGCTTCCTTTCCAAAGGAGACTTTTYGGCTGAACAGTTTTGAAATATTCAAAAGTTTCAACAATGAGTTTGTGCTAATTCTATTGCATGTAATTATAGCCAAATTCTCTCTCTTGCTCTTAGGATTTTTCTCTACTGAACTGTACTGGTAGCTGGTTTTCTCTAGCTGTGTTGTGTGCTACTCGCCCAATTTAACTTGAGTTTCTCGCGCACGTGCAAGGTCACAATTACAATAGCTATAAAACAACACCTCCTTGTGGTTGTAGATATAAAACACGACTTGTATTATGTCTTTAAAGGCAGAAAGGAGGACTTGACAGCCAGAGTGAAATTAGCTGCAGTCTGAGAAAAAAGTCTGAGAAAAAAAAATGCAGTATTGCTATTAATTGTTTACTTGTTAATACTTATTAATATTATTCTTGAATTGTTAAATTGCAGGATTTAAAGGATGATTTGCTTAGGGCAGAGATGTGCTGTGCGAGATCAATCTTAGAAAAGTCCACAATGATGCTATTAACAACTTCTAAGGTAAAGGTATACTTACCCTCCCCCTGCACTCCCCACTTCCCTTCCCCCCTCCCCACGTGTGTATTGGTATGTACATCTTCATTTACACAATTTGTATTGCATTATTTCATTAGACATGTTTACGGCATCCTGGCTCTATGGTTGCCAAAGCTAACAGAGATGGAGTATTTACYAGAATGAAAGAAGCCATAGCAACAATAAAAGATGTAACAGAAGATAGATGTAAATCAAAACAAAATAAGGAACCATGTTTAGCAATGGATATTAAACAATTTGAGGTGAGAATACAATATTATTAACATTATTGAGATCAATTTAGTGGTAATTTTCAGTCACGCAATCATAAAATATACTAAACTCTTTAAGTGATCTCTTTTACACTTGTTTTCGCCTCAAACCATGTTATATATACTCTGACAGCTCATGCGCGCTAGAGATCTGAGTATAAAAGACAAAAAAACAAGTTTGAAATCACATAAACTAACAGACATTTTTTTTCTTCAGACATCATTAGAAAATTTCAGGAAAAGTACACCAGATGAAACCGAGGCAAAAGTTAATTTTCAGAAAGGACTGGAAAACATTCTCTTAGACGTCCARCCATTTATTAATTCGTCACATACTCGGAAAGAGAAAAGAGAAAATATTGTTGCCTTGTGTGAAAATGCACAAGATATAATGAAAGATATCATTGAAAGACACACTGAGCATGAGGTGAGAAAGCTACGTACAAAACCAATTATAATTGTAATTATACACATTTTTTTTATTGAATGTTTTTTTTTATAAATTCATAACAGCATATTATGCAATAAATAATTATTATTTATCAGGTGCCAGCAGAAAGAAGCAGCAGCGCTGATTCACTTGACCTTGCTCTACAAAGAATATTTAAAATTTCAAGAGACTTGAAGCAYGAGGTAAATTAAAGCAGTTTGTTAACAAAATAAACTATACTCAGTTTATTTACGGAAACATGGAAACTTAGTTGTTTCAGTTATAAAGTCAAAATTTAGTGACACTACCATGCAGGTCTTTCAAGAAGTCACAATTAAATATTATTGTGGTCGGTTATTCATTAGACCAAATGCAGGAAAACCAAGAAATAAACCAAACTAAATACTAACAAGTAGCGGCTATTTAGAGGCAAATTGTCAGTATCATGAATGAACCAGAATGCAATGAAGATGAATTAAAAATAGTCTCAGGTGGATTCATCTGGATACTGACAAATTGTCTCTAAAATGTAGCTGCTATATTTGTTAGTATTTAGGTTATATTTCATGGTTTTCCTGCGTTTGCTCYATTTTAATCAATACCATTGTTTTTGAAGGTTCATCAGGTAGCAATGGACCAAGTGTTTGAGACATTTTCCCATCAAGGACACAAGAAATCTCTACCAGCACTGAGRCATGCTGCTGCTACAGGGGACCAGAATAATCTAGAACAAGCCGCCAGTGCTTTCCTTCAAGATGGTAAAAGACTAGAAGAGGTAACAAGAATGTTGTCTTATATTCAATGAAAAGGCTCAAATCACAATCTACAAATGCAAATTAAATCAAGAAAGCTAAAATATCACATATCATATTTATGTTAGAAATGTATGCATTAATTTTTGTGTTTGGAGATTATTACAAAAAAATCAACTTGACCAGATAACTTTGTTTGTAGGTCTCTCAGGTTACTAGAAACATGTCAACCAGTGAAGCAGTCTCAATCACAGCAAGAAAAATTGAAGAAAATATAAAAACATTATGTCCACAGGTATGTTTTGTACCTGATTTTGATGTTGGGTAGGTCATATAATAAGTTGGCTTTGCATCAAAGCAAGATGAAATGACTGGTTGCTGAACATGTTCGAAAAAAGGCTATTTTACCTTTTAAGAAGATTCATGGAACTGTTTAGGAGAGTGGTTGATATAATAGTTCCTTTGAATTTTGATGTTAATGTTGTAGTTGTTTTTGCTGTATAGAATTGAAGTGAATCTTTTCCTTTTACTCTATCTTGCTATACAACGCCCCACTYCCTCCCCCCAAAACACAAACTCACTGGAGTGGGGTGGTGAGAAATAGTAGGACTAAGAAATTACTATTTGTCCTGCAGGTTGTTGCTGCTGCTAGAACTCTTTCTTCTCATCCTGTCAGTAAAATAGCTCAGGAAAACATGGATGTGTTTATTGATATCTGGGAAGGTCAAGTAGAGGAACTTGGAAAGGTCTTGAGGGGAATAACATCAGGAGGAGAGATGAGCAAAAGTAAGTATTTTATTCTATTTCTGGTGGGCAACGCTTACCATAAAGTAATTCTGTTATACGACATTAGTCACATGACTATTCCACTCTCTTTTGGCTTCTCAACTTCACCTAGTTTCTTCAAGAACGCYTATAATATTATCTTAATTCCTCGAGGAATCAATAAGATCATGTGTTGTTTCCTGACATGATCGTGGCCATTTTCCAAATAGTCATTGTGCCGGATCATTGTACCATTGTTGCGGACAATGTAATAGAAGAGCACTAGACATAATGGCTGGTCAATGGACAATGTCTGTCAAAAKTTTCTATTTGACTGGCCAGATCATTTTTTTCGAAGGACCATAAACGTATTTGAAAGATGACCTCCATATGTCATGCTATGTTATTTCCAGCGTCCTGCACAGTGTGGTCGCTTTTAAGTAGCCTTTGTCACACTCTGCCTTTTCCTAGTCTGCTTAGCGGCTTTTCGACCTCACCCATACACCCCCATCCCCTAGAGACGTTACGCAGGCTAGCCTTTGTCTTGACGCTAGAACCATTAGAAATCGCTTCCAACCATTTATATCATGGCTCGTTTGCCGTGGATTGAGAACAATTTTGCTATTGCTTGCAAGTTATCAAACAGATGGAAGAAAACGTCCTGGTGTGATGTAGGCTAATAAAGAGGGCTTAACCAGCTGCGCAGTGAGGTTGCTTAGTCTCGGCGAACACTTCTCGCTTTCTTATATTGCTGCTGTATTGCGTATAACAATTTTTATGCGCTAGAAGTAAATATTGAGCACTAAAAGGCCTGTCAACACAAATGAAAATGTAAAGCTGTTAACAAGTGTCATAAATCTTTAAAGATAACGTTCAAATTTTTAACTACGATTATGAATTCTTTGTAACTTGTGTTAATGTGCTGTTTTTACAGGAAACTCTGTCAGATTGTCACAAAGGCTCAGTAACGACATGTCTGACCAGAAGCTAAATTGTAAACCAACCTAAAYAGGTCTAAATATCTGACAACAGTAAAAATCAAATTTGTATGTTATATGGATTGGAGGATTTTTAGTTTTAGTATATACTAGACTACACATGATTGTTTCACCAGTAAGCAAATAAAACTAAAACAAAAAAATAAAAAAAGATAAAATAACAAATAGAAATGTAAATAAACCATTTTTTAAAGCCATTGATATTGCCGTGAGTTTTGCCGTGAGGAATATTTCTTTTGGTTGGACTTAAGTCTTTTTGTTAGCMTACTTGATTTTATGTATGTCGATTGATTGAATGATTGATAAAACGATTGGTTGGTTAATTGATTAATTAATGTGATTGTATCTGTCATTGATAGATTGATTGATTGGTGCGATTGAAGAACAATCTATCTATTCAATGATCAATTGCTTGCATATTGGCATAATCGGATTGATTGTTCGAATGACCAATGGTTGATCGATCGATTGACTTGTCTAATCATTGATTGATTACATGATTGATTGATTAACTGTTTGATTGACTGATTTAAAACTATCTTTATRGCACTAATTGCTTAATGATATGAACATAACCGTCTTCTAAACTCTGTAATTATCTTAATGAAATAAAGAACGTTCAAACCAAATGATGATCTAAAATGTGAGGGGGCACTAAAGCTAAATTACACAAAAAACTTCCCGGTGTTGTCCATGCATAAACGAAATATAAAAAAGACAAACAAAAACAACAACAAACAGACAAAAAATAAAGATGCCAGTAAGCGATATACACACTATGCTTTCATACTTTATGTGCACACCCTCCGAGAAATATTTGAGAAGATATCCTTGTCGTAATGAATRAATGACTTTATTCGCGTAAGTAGGGTATATCGCCGTCAATCCTTCAGCAAGTGCCAGACAATCTCTGTGGGAAAAAATATCGTAGTCACAATGTTAGAGTTGTGGTGATATTCCTAGAAATTGTCACCGCAGTGTTCATAACGCATCCGTAACTTTTATATTGTCTTTGGAAGAGTACTTGCTAGAAATCGCAACGTCAGAGACTTTTAATACCTTTCAACATTTTTGCAAAATCAGAACAAACAACTTCCACTATAGCTGCAAGGTCCTGTAACAATTTTCTCGGACTCTATCTTTATCGCGTGAAATCGCATCAACAATCTTCGAAATCGCAGTGATAACCCTTTAACATGCTATCAACTGACAGCACGGATATTCTATGTGGAAACCATTATCTGATAAATAGCCCCGACAATGTTAAATAATCGCGTGCTAGACGATTGGCCCAGCATTATCAAGCTTTATGAAGTAGGTTCTTGCCGAGGGATTACTGGTGAGTCCCATGGGGTGCAGTCTTCTGATGCTGTTACGGGGTAAAGGATCAGTCGATATACTAAAAATATCATGCATATATTTCATTTAGGAGGGCAGGGAGGTTTTATACTGCTCATTCGTATTTTGTTTTTCATCTATATTTCCTTTTCACGCATTCTATACCTGTCTTTATTGCGTAATTGTAACACTAGAGTGCACCTCGTTACCATTTATGCATGATTTTAAAGTTAAATTACTAAATAAATAGACGTATTGGACGTTCGTGGGGGCAGACATACTTAAATCCGTTAACACTTTCTCCACAACTCTATTCAGATATTGAAGGGAAAGAAAAACATATCAAACAAACTGGAATCGTATCATAAAGTTCCGCACCCAGGCCACAGTCACTCACTACACGATCCTTGTCACAAATATCAACCTTCATTTCTCAGTTTAAGTCTAAGTAATCAATAATTTGTAATTAAATAAACGAACGAGAAATATCTGTACTGTTTTGTAGAGCACTCTCACTAAATGCACAAGCAATAGGAGCACTAAATAGCACTAGATAAACTCTCGCTGAGAGCTGCCTGTCGAAGGGGTCTTTCCATAATCTGGGGCAAACTAACTGATTAGATAAGAACCCATCAGTGATCCATCTGTTCAACGAGMACAATCAAYTCTTAGAYTTCATTCAGYGTTCAAGTRAAATTTGTGGAATGAAGTGATGGAATGGGGTTGTACTCTTAAAATAATTAGAATAATGGCATGGGGTAATATCAATTAATTCAGTAACAACTTTGATTTCGTTTGTGGAACTCACTGTTCTTTATGTTCTCGTTTCAGTTGATGCGAGACGAAAAAGACTTGTTTACAACGCAGAATATGCCACTTTGTAAACTGACTAAAGCAACTCGACACCTCTAACAATAAAAGATCTCTTCGACCAAATCTGAAGTTACAATAKAATTGGTTAAACACGCTATAGAATGGCAGTGATATCGACGAGTAACTAACTGGATGAAATACTGGATGGAAACAGTAGAACACACTACTTGAACTAGAAAGGGACTGGGAGAAAGGGAACTACGATGAACACGGCWATGACCACGCCCGTTGTTCCTCAAGAAGTTAAAAAAACAACAACGAATTAACTCCTCTGGAGCCAATCGAAAGCACTGCAAGATTTTATTCAAGAAGATTATCAAAAAAGTTTGGACGTTCATGGCTTTTATGAATATTTTATGCACCGAAACGAGTCTAAGACTGACTAATGCATAACTCGAAACTGTGGAATATTATGTGACTCAGTAAAACAATCGCTATACCTATTTGATGACGTCAGAACGCTGGTGATACATCTTTACATGAAGAGACGTTGATAGACTTTTTGTGCTTCATTGATTAGCCGAGGAAAGGAATTGATGGACTAATTGAACAATGTAAAAGGAATGTAGGCAAGGCGGACGTGAGACCTGAGTGGGACTGGTGCCCAGCAGCAATTTTGAATTTTAAATCATATAGTATAAACCCATATATTGATTTTATTATTAGTGATATTTTGAATTATATTAGGAATATTTTATTAAAATACATAGCCATTTCTTAGTAGAGAATTATATACAATGGTATAACTGAAGGGCAATTTGTGGACGAAAAGTCGTAAATGGCTATAATTGTTTCACATGYAGAGATTCTAAGAGTGCAAGAGAAGACCACTCAATGGGTGATTTCAACACACATCACGAAACATCACCTTCATAAAACATCCCAAGCGAACTCTTGAAATTAAAAGAGAATATCTGAATTAGCAAATGTGGGAAGTTTGAGGGCATTATGAGGAATGAAAAAATACATTTTTTAATTAATTGAAAAAAAAAAAGCGAAAGTGATCGTCCTTCATTTTGCCATATTCATCTCTTCTTTTATATAMTATTGCTGGTTATCGATTTTATACCACACGGCGGCGATGTTGGTGGTTTCTCACTAGAATTTTTTGTTCTTAACGGAAACATGGCTGCCTTCTTGAAACTTAGGGTTTATTATTCGTTTTCACAATACGTCACAGCGGCCATCTCCTTTGGAGGAACCTCAACAAAGGATTTCTCAGTAATATCAATTGTTCGTTCCCCCAACATGGACGCCGGTTTTTAATGGCTTTTGAATCTCATGGAAATGGTTGAAAACTGGCAATAAGGTGAGACCTCTCAGTGTGCTAATTTCGATGTACTCTTTTAATTTTTGTTTTCATGTATGTTCTTCGGAAGGTGTGGTCACGTGATATGTAAGTGCAAACCGCTCATTTTATAATTGACCGTAACATGTAGGCCGCGTTTTAGAGCTGTCATTAATATTCAAAATATTATGTATTTTTTTGGAAATTACAGTCATTGAAAATGTAAAGTGAATGTAAAGCCGTGAATTAAAGTGYCGTTCACTTGCTTGCATCTGGAGTGTAGTTGTCACTGGGTTTTGCCGAATATAATTAATCTCTTCACTCGAGGTTTTCCTGTATTGCCCCCTGGCACTCGGCATGGCATTTGAAACTCTAGGTCAAATGAGCTGGATTTTGAAGACATTTCATGAGTTCTCRAGCCAAATGTTTTTGCGCGTGCTTAAACATCAAGTGAAAAACGAAAAATTAATTCCAAGGTTTCCGAATGTGAAGTGAATATTTGAGGTGAAAAATAAGTGTCAGTTTATATTAGTGTTGTTTTCAGTATTCAATTAAAATATTACTATATACAGCAATATGCAGAAATTATGATCTTTTTTGACTAATATTTCAAAGTAAATATATCAGAAATTATGGGATATCATCGCTGATATTTTATTCAGAAAGTAGTAGTGCTACAAATTGTAGGCAAATTAAAAAAATATAAGCGATGATACCCATAATTTTCCTATATATTTTGACATACAAGTCAAAAAGATCATAATTTCTGCATATTCTTGTATAATAGGTTATCATTGTTATTCTCGTTAAAGGTCCCGCTGTGACAGATAACCAAACGTATGACGAGAAACRCGACGAGGAAAAGAATCCCGTGGAGGATCATCTACATGAAAAACCATCAAGAATTGATAAAATGCTGGTTAGTGTAAACACAGTCCCTTTGCAGACTACTCTTTTGTTGGCTGCGAAGACACTGGTGAAAACGCACTGCGCATGTCCACAGCTTTCCCGCCAGTGAGCGCGTGCGTCTTGAAGAAAATCTGCCTAATTTATTTGTAAACAGAGCGCCTGGCGATTTTTGTGAAAGTTTTTTAAAATTTATAAGCTCGTTAATCGATATATAAGATTCATATTTCCACCAATCTTTGTTCATGATAGGTCCTTTTAGTATGTAGTTTCTATTTTTATCTTGTTATTTCTATTTTGAGAAAATGAGGTTTTTCGTAGTGTTTTCTGTGTTGTCGCTGTAAATCGCCAGGCGCTCTGTTTACAGATTTCAAGACGCGMGCGCTCACTGGCGGGAAAGCTGTGGGCATGCGCAGYGTTTTTCACCAGTGTCGGCTGCGAAGGATGTAAAGCAATACTAGAAATACTACAATATCAGTCTTATATTCCCTGAAACAGTTGGAATGAYAAAAATATAGAAATATCTGATTTTATTCATTCACGTTTCTGTTGAGTCTGTAAGTAGGTTCCTATGCGTCAATTCAARCACCCAATCAATCCATTCAAACCATTTATTTTATTTAACACATAGTTCGACCTATTGATACTTTCAATGTCTCTTTTTAACATCAGTCAACGTGATCGCAGTTTCAGTTTATCTATCTTTATGTAACAAATATTTCTAGAACAAGAAATGGGATTCGAAAATATCCTACCCTATACCTTTATATGGTTCGCATATGCCAACTACATTTGTAACGCGAAAGGTAAGTGAAAACGTTATTGTAACTAATGCCATTCAAACTTGTAACTTATTTGATGCCTTCTCGTTTGGCCATTATAGAATGACGCAAAGATCAGTCGCCTAATATCTAATGTCAATCTAATGACGTCACAGCTAGAGGTGAACGAACGCCCAGAGAAGGATAATGAAATCATTCAACGAGCARTCGATATGTCTCACATGGTGTGTGATTTGTATCTGTTTACAAGGTAAAAGYGTACTATATGAAATCATATCCCATTTATGTTCATCAAGGGTGCCCTATGCCAAATTCATCGAATGGATAATTTCACGTTTGTTTTAGAGGTGAAGGAACACTTCTTTGTACAACGGACTTTTTCGAGGCTGCCAAGGTGAGTTATTTTGTGGCAATACTTTTCTAATATCATCGCTCAGGGGTGGAACCAGACATTTTTTAGAGGGGAGGTGCAAATCTATAAATTTTGTGTATGTCTCTCTGATGACTGCCTAAATTATGCAGGTAATATGAATATGTACTTCCATATCTATACCTTTCAGGACTTTCCCAAAGGGGGTGTGGATGGAAGTGGGAGGGGGGAGGGAGAGGAGGCACCGCCCCCTGGTACTCTTTGTATCCGCCCCTGTAGAATATATATGACATAAAGATGAGTGTGCTTTGATTACAGAAATTAGCAGAGACTGGACAAGCATTATGGAAAGTTGCTAAACAGCATGCTATCAAGGTA